TTACAATGAATTGCTTGTGTAACCTACAGAGTACACAGCAAGTCAGCAAAAAATGCAAACATGACATATTTCTCTAAAGGAAAGCATAGAATTAAACATTTCTACAGAATAAGGTCTCTAATAGTTGATTCATTATTAAGCAGTATTTACATGGGTTTGACCTGAGAATGTTTTTTTTCTTACAATTAGTTTGAAATTGGACAGCTGCTACCAGGAATCTATGATATTTTAGAAACTATGGATCCGTGAAATTAAGTATTAGACCAATGCATTTGATTTAATCTATTAATTTACACTGATAATCTAATAACTGGTGAAGTGAATCAGTGTGTCAGTGTTTTCACCCGATGCAGCCACAGCCTCGGGCTTGTGTTAGCTTCAGCATGTCAGTGTGAGGTGTAAAGAGTGGGGCATCCAGTCCTGTCAGCTGCTGTTTACCAATCCTCTGACCGCCACCTAAACCAGTCATGGGACTGGTGATGCGAAAAAAGCCCCTTCGTGCCTTATACATTATTTACGGCACAGTTATGAACATGCATTTAGGAATCCGTCTGTTTAAAATTGCCTTCTCCATCTAAACCCACCTCATGTCACTGTGAAATTTTATTCGGTTTTAATGTGTTATGATGTATACTTTTAATGACTCTATTTTAATGTATTTCTTTTTAATGTTTCGCTTTTTGGTTTTAACTATGTACGGTGTCCTTGGGTGACAGAAAGGCGCCTTCGAAATAAAATGTATTATTATTATTATTATAAAGTGCAGCTGACAGTGAGGAGGGTCAGTGTGAGCAGCTGGGTCACACGTCAGGAAACCCACAGGAGAGACATAGGCTGGTTGAAAGATGAGCCCAGCAAAAAGCCATTACACAATCTGGGCTTCTGTCACCGAGTTCATTATGTTTTTTTTCCTTCAGAAGGGCGATTCGCATTATTAGTATTCACACCCACGCTCGCTCCGTGCTGATGAGAAGTTACTGTACTGACAGAGAGACTGCAATATGATCTGATCCACTCTCTCCATCTCTTAATTACACCAGTAGATTTTCTGCTCCGATGGAGAGAGGCTGCAGCAGGAGCCGGGTCACCTCAAGTCCACACTAGTGCTCTTTATGTTAATATAAAATGTGAGCCACTGAAGCTCCTGATGCTGGAGAGACTCAAGTGACTCATGGACACGTTATCTTCAAATCATGTGTTGTTTCCTTTGCTCTGCTGAAAGTTCAGCTAAATAAATTAGAGCTGTCCTTGATCATACAATGTGCTGCATTGTGAACTAGATAATTTTATTTTAAAAAGTTACCAATATAAAAAAATACATCTGCACACATGCAAAGTCTTATGGGGAAAAAAAAACGAACCTTGTTGAGCCACTCCACCTTTTCCACATCTGGAAAGTTGACCTGTGGACAAGTAAAATGGGTCAGGCATGAACTCAAATATGACAGGGTGGTGTAAAATGACATCGAACTACAAGAAAAGTACTTAAAATACTTGAGATGTTTTTATTTCATGGACCCGATATTTTTCCTGGGTATACTTTATTAAACTTCTACTTTTCTCCATATATTCCTTATGTCATTTTTAACCATGAGGCAGTATTTCTAGGAGCTCTACTTGTTTTGTTTTACTAGTTAAATATATATCTATCTCCACCCTGTAAATTAGAAGTATAGAGAAAAAATGTCAGGATGCAATTAACCACACTCTGCAAATTAGATTTTCCTCCAAACCACAGAGGCTTGAGATCTCAGATTAGGCCTATCTGCTCAAAAAACACAAACTGTCTCTCTCTATCTCTCTCTCACTCTCTCTCTCTCTCTCCAGATATGGTGGTCGTGGTCGCTGCCTCTGCTCTGCTGTGAAGGATGTTCATGAGTCATCACGTTTTTCAGATTCTTAGAGGCAGGGTAGCGAGAAAGGAAAAGGAAACGCTCAGAGAATCTCTATTATTGTTGTCATATATAGACAAGCATTTTGCAGGAGCCGTGTTTTAACTCCTTCATGCTACAAAGAGCTCATCTGACATGTTAATTCACTGTAGTGTGGCAGCAGATCAGACTAATCTCCCTGCAGGCACTGCACAGAGGAAATGTCTGAACATGTGGGCTGATCTGGGACAAACACTGAGCAAAAAGGGTCCTGCATTCATTTCATCTGAGCGCTGCAGTAAAACACTAGTGTCACTGTCTTTTGTGAATTCACTTTCTGAACAAATAGTCTAACAAGTGCTTGCTAATGAGATCCCTGTATTTAAAAGCATATGCAATGGGATAAGAAGAAGCTGAGGTGCAGTTCAACCTGTGACAGATGAGACAGGTGATGTGCATTGGTGTGGGCATGGTGGGTCAGCTGAAAGTGTGGCTGGGTCCTTACCCATGGTGACAGATCCATTTTGGTTCTGAAAACCTTCTGGGTGATGAATTCCCTCTCGTTCTCCAGTAGGTACATGGCAGACTTGAGCCTGAGCTTCTTCTCCAGTCGACCGTGTTTCCATCCCATGTAGATCATCAGCCCGAACAGGACCAAGCTGATGTTGAAGCCGTAATATCCGGCCAGGTACACGGGCAGGAGCGCAGCCAGGCATTTCCCAAACGACCACAGCACACTGGCCGCGCGCTCACCGGGCAGCTGCTCCGGTGAGGCCGGGGCTGCGGCCACCGTGCCCGGCTCTGCTTTGGCGACTGGCATCGCTTGACTTCGCTGGATGGACCTGGCCTTCTGCTGCGTCGCTCTGCCTCTGTGACTGGGTGGCAGTAGCCAGTGGGGACTTACCACCGAGGTATTATGGAAACCATGGAGATGTCATCGATGAAGTGCTGGTTTTGGAATCGATTGATTAAAGCATTATCACGGGTTCTTCTCGCTGCCCCCTCCTCCGCTCAGCTCCGCAGGGCACCAAAATGAGCTATTCCGTGTTCCATTGACGTGTGAGGCTCCTCTGAAGGCAAGGACCAGAAGCAGAGAGGGCGGGCTCTGCTCGAATCCCTCCTTCAACATGAAGTCCTGCACGCATCTAAAACCTTTTCACTTGTGGCGTCCTGCAGGGAATCACACAGTCACAGCGTTATGTGCACAGAGGACGAATATACATGCAAAGCACACTACGGGACCACTGCGCTCAGATTACTGTAATTACGCACCGGCTGCTTAACCCGTTATTTAAAATCCGTCTTCGTGCGCAAGCGCTCATGTCCACTGCAGCAGCTGAGCATCAACAGGTTCACTGACAGAAAAGGTGCATCAGCTTCATCCTCTCACGTCTATCAGCCACCGAGCTGCTCACTCCTCACCAGAGAGGATCCAAGCCGCTGGGGTAGAGTCGTGACAACTATAGGGGATATGCGCCAGTTGGCCACTTACGCAGTGTTTACGCACCACTACCATGTAAACCTAGATACACTGAGCACTTACAACCTAATTGTCATTCAGATGCGTTTTGTCTCGCGGTGATCCACACGATTCTCTCAGCTTGATTTATGCATTGCAAATGTAACAGAGCGGAGCAGGTTGACATTGCTCCCCTGTTACCATGCAGGCAGCTGCCAGTTAGCTGTGGGCCTGTTTGCTCCCAGTCTGATGATCCTTTATGTAAACAGACGAGGGAGAGAGAGAGAGAGAGAGAGAGAGGAGGCATCCAGCCAGTCAGGCAATAATGATCAGGTCCGACTACAGTGATCCAAGAATTTGTTACAGGTTTATAACTGACCTTTGAGCATAAAAACCAAATAGAGAGGTAGCAAAGCATATTTTGTTATCAGTGACATTTGAGGCAAACAAATGTATGAAATGCTTTTGAAGTATCCATGTTGCCATTACTCAAAGGTACTTCTGCCTATACTTTAATTTAATTGTCCTTATTTCCAGGTGGGTTTGTGATTCCAACTTTGCTATTTTTAATATATACATGAACAAGGACAATTCAAATATGTAAAAATATTTAAATTTGATATTTTGTACAGTCCCACTCACATGTTTTTTTACATTTATACTTAATTCATTCACTCTGTAAAACTCTTATCAACTATGTATTGACATGTAGGTTGGTCCTTAGCTCACCTGCACTATAAGTGGATTTTTATTAAGCAGCTGTCTCTTCCTAAAAATTGAGGATTGATTTTAAGATTATTTTAATGTTTAAAGCTCAGCAGGATCTGGCCCACCGCAATTATCTCCCTTCACTCTAAACTGTGATCTAAGATCATCCAATCACAATTACAGTTCAGCTTCTGGTAACCAAGGTTGTCTTGGCTTTTATAATAAGGGCTCTTTATGTCCTTGCCTCTTTCAAAGGTTTCACACACCTGCTCAAGTCATGGGGAAGAAACTGCAATATTTTTAGAATGCAAATTTGCCAACAACTTCCCTTTAGGTTTTTGTGTCTGCAAGGCAAGCAGGTTCAAAGTGCTGAGCGCACTCTTTGGGTAATTGAATAGGAAGTACAAACAGCAATTATGCATTTTTCAGCGAACACATTAAACTTACATTGTCAAATCTAAAAATCTGCAACTAAGACCTAATCAGATGACACAAGCCTTGAAACGTATATTGATTCTGGGCATCACAATGTGACCACATTTATACTCATGGCACAATTATTGTTCAGCAGTGCACTCTAGATATGAAGCTATCGTTCAGATGTTTTATCATTTAATACTTCAGTTATTTTAACTACTGGTTTCATTCCTTGCAACATGAGCTTTAGCTGCCATATTTAATATTTTAAGACCAAATAACTTCAGTAACAATGAGATGTACTTTTAATTGTAACAATCTGCAGTTTAAGGTGGTTGAAATCAGCTCAGCTTTTAATTCAGTTCATTTGAACACTAGATGTGAACGTTACTTTGTATAATCACACTGCTCAACTAAGCCTTTTCACTGGAGCTATGTTGACCGTTGTAGGACAAGCAAAACTGCATCCATTAACGTAACGATCTCTTAAGTTATTTACAGGACTTCCCGAGGCTGTTTAAAAAAAAATCTGAAACAGCAAATTGTTTTTTTTAAACCAAAACCTTTAATCAAAGACAAAAACAAATGAAAAAAGTTGAGGAATTAAGAACAGGAGTTCAGAAAGTCCCAGTGGAAAAGCCTGACATCCAGGGGTCTTGGATCAGCTCTGCAGCATCAGGTCGATTTGGACACCGCTGGCTTCAAGACAAGAGGGGGGGGGTCCTGGGTCTCTGGCTGTGCTCTTCTAGTCAGCTTGTTTGAAACATTGGAAGTCACAGCCATGGCAGAGAAGACAGTTTACTTGGACCTCTGCCTCATCTTTCTCCTTTTGCGCTTCAGCCTGCAAGATGATCACAAGAGCCAGTTAGACATCACAACACTGGACAAAGGAAGATTACTAGAGCTGGGCGTTAAGTCAATAATGCTTTGGAATGAAGGTTGAGGTTATAAAGTCTGTATGAGCAGAGAATGTCAAAGACTTTGACCTTGTTACAGATGAAAATTGTATTGCCGTTCCTAGTAATGCTTAAATTGACAAGCCTTAATTAATACTGTGACTTTACACAGATATTATTATTCTAGTTCATAGGATTGAAATGGAAACTCAGTAAAGGAAACATGAACAAATTAGATTTTGGTATAAGTCAATATGATCTCGCACTGAATGGTGTATTAACCATTTGGTTACCATTTGTATTTGGACAATTGAGCATTTACTTGCACATCACGATGTTATGTGACTGCGACAGGACTTTTAACATTTAGGATCATTTTAATAAAATCTAGAGTTGCAAACAGAAGACGCATGTTTCACAATCTTACCTGCGCATGCGCTTCTTTCTCCACTGTGAGGGGGGAGAAAACATTGAATTACTATGCGGTTCACGTCCATTTATGTCAAAACTCATTAAATAAATACAACTGAAACAAGATGAGACTAGAATGAGTTAAGCAACAGATTCACAGGCTAACTCTCGTGGACGTGCTGTTTCGGCCCTGCTAGCTAGCTAACAGATGTTAGCGTGACTACAAACTGCAGATATCGTATCATAGACACGTTCGACACTAACCTTGGCTCTCATGTCGAGGAGTGGAGGCTGAAAACAGAGCGGCACATGTGGAGAATTAGTTCGATTGCTTTCAGAACAAGATGATTAACATGGATTCTGATGGAGACAGCAGAGTTCCAACTTACCAACCGCTAACACACCGTCTTCCTGGAGGACGTCACAATCCCGCGACGTCGTATTTATAGGGGTTGTGACGCCAGGCTTACTGGATCGCAGTGAAACATGGGAAATGAAGTCTTATAGAAGATAAACGCATCATGAAAACACGTAGTATTATTCCACTGCAGCTTTTAAAGTCCATCGTTTCAGAAACTCAGTATTTCTTGACCCATGATGTTATTTATATAGAACTATTCCTTATACCCTTTATATTTATATATCATTACTCTGTATACACTTTTAAACTTATAATAAAGTTTATTCGTGTAGTTTTATTTCCCCTTATATTTTGTAGACTTAATAGTATATATATATAGATACATACACACACATATATATATATATATATAAATATGCAAGAATTCCCTACAGGATTAATATTATCTTTTTTTAAATCTTGTTTTATCTTATCATATTCAAATAAAGAATTACTCATGAACTGAATTCATGTGATTGCTGATACAGTGTTAAGTGATATGTTGACTGTGTGCCCCTATCTATCAATAATACCAATGATAATAAAACAAATAATACAAATATTATTAATAATAATAATCTGAAAAGAGGCCTGTACATTGAGAACCTACACTAAAATAAAGACAAAAGACTACTAGCATTACACTTTTTTGTGATCTTTTTGTTTGTTTTGTGAGCTCTGTGACTTTCAGACATTAGTGGTCACATACAGAGTGTGTGGAAACCTCTTGGGCCCCCAGTCTATATCCAATAGGCCTGTTTAGTAGTTCAACTATGCACAGTAGCGATTTAAACCCCATTCCAGTATTTCTAGACTTAAATTGCTTCAAGTATTTTAAAGCCAACAAGAAATTAAATTCATTAATTAATTTATATGGTGTCTTTGAGCATAGTTAAAACCGTTAAAGCGTAAAATGAATTGATATTACAAATAATCAGTTATTTGAATAGATCAATCAAAATAGTAGCAAAATATCTCTTCTTGTTTTCTGAATATAAAAAACTCTTCTCTCCTGTCACCCTCTTGAGACAACATTCAGACTTTCGTAGTTAACAATGGTACTTATACAGTATGCATGTGTTTCACTTGGAATAATTTATACATACTACTGCCTCTACAATTGTTTGAGAACATTGATCATGTACACTCTGTATTAGTTATTCATATTGCAGAACCACATACACCTCAACTGGTCATCTAACATTTCAATAAACCTGGAGTCTCAGTTTCAGTTCTTCCCGGACACCCTGCAGCAGGCCAGCGTCAATTAACCAGTTCCTGTGTAGTTTTTTATACCGAGGGTGAATAGTCATTGAGGGGGACATGAGATCCAGGACACAAATTGATGCTTAAAATCATGATAAACACAGAATCATCTGAATACACACAATCCAAAAAAAAAACAGAGACACAAATGATGTCAGGTGGCTTTTTAATGTTTCCAAAAATAGTCTCTGAAAGTGGGATTTGTTTTACAAAAGTATCCATATATTTAACAGGTATGGAATTCTTATGTAAACACAGACTGTCAGACTCAATGGTGGCACCAGAAGACTGAATGCTGAACCCTTGGCAGAAGTTACACCATCCACAAGTGAGAAAGGATCATTCTTATTTTACTTGTTAAATTCCTCAACTGGTAGAATGTAAAATGACAGTTTTAGAAATGATTAGCCGAGTAAACTACATCAGAGGCCTAGAAGTATACACAGTGACTAGGCTTAAGCAGGAGCAGTACAAATGGGGTAATTCGGCTGCACTGAATAATGTTGAATTAGTGAGGTCATTAGAAATTGTGTGAACGTTAGAATATCAGGGTTCAAGTATGGTGTTCCATTTCTTTCTGTGACAAGTTATCACCAATAACTTCAGGCTTATGACCTCAAGGAAGTTATCCAAATGTCACACAATTACACTGACATGATGTTGTGCGTTCATCATCCTTGGCCGCTCTGTCAAACTCATTATATTCTCCATTTCTTTCACTACAGTTAATGTGGAAAAACGGCTCAAGATCAGTCGAATGGGTAAATGTTCCAGTGAGTAAATGCCCTTGCAGCAGAGCTATGTCCACTATCAAGACAAAAGCCTGTCTCAAGGACAGTGAGATTTACTAGGGACGTGTGTGTGTGTGTGTGTTTTAAGTGGAGTGACAATTTAGGAGCAGCATCATCCCAGTCTGACATCAGTTAGATTCAGAGGTATTCACAGCGGCTACACCAGCAAGTGCCTCGGACAGCTGGGACAGAAGGATTTGTGACGTCTGTTCTTTGGGTCATCAGAGGTCTGTCAGAATTTCTTGGAGAGAGAATCTATTCTGCAGCTTCGGTCTCCATTGCCTGTCCTGTCGCACTCTCAACGGTCTTTGAGGCCTTTAAAAAAAAAAAAGTAAAGACTGAAATTAGTGGATACATTTGGATCCTGTATTCTTGTTTGTTTATGAAACATTGCGTCGTATCCCACCTTCTTCTTCTTCTTCTTCTGGGTCTTGCGGCTGGCTGAACTTTGAAGCAAAGCCTTTATGGGAGAGAAAAATATGTAATGACCTCATGGAGTATAACAACATGCAAAAGCCGTTCCACTAGTCTAATATTTTCTTTTCAAGTAGAACAACAATATATTCATAAACCATGCTTTACCTTCAGCTCTGGGTCCTCCACCTGGAGCTCAGACTTGTACAGCTCTGGCTCAAAGAGGCTGTTGGTAATTCGCAGAGGTCCATTAGCCATGAGCAGCACAGTGAACTTGAATTGGGCGACAAATTCACCTGAACACAGACAGGATTGAAAGTTGCATTAAACAGCAGTTTTCTGTAAATTTTGACAAATGTCACAGATAAGAGGGTGAGTGCCATGACTCATATGGATGGCAACAGGAAGTCCTGTTTCAACTGTGCAGAGTTTTAATGCTTAAAAGATTCCCTCTGATATTAAGAGGGGAACAAAAAAAATCCTTACTGTTTGCGTTGCTTGTTAGGTCGGTATTAAAGAGATTAAAGAAGCTGTCTGGCTTCCTTCCTCTCTTGCAGTATAATTTTGTCTTTTATGTTTAATATGTTGTATCCTCATCATTGTGCAATAAAATTGGCAATTTCATAAATACCACCCGTTCTGTGAGATTTTTCCAGAACATTTGAAATCTTCCGTAAATGGGAAAACTTTCAGCCCTTACACAAAACCAACCTACTAAGAATTACAATGGTCATCAAATCAAACCTGTTCATTAAATCACTCACCCTCTTTCTCATGCAGCACATTGAATGGCTGCACCAGCTCATGTTTGGCACACTCCACCACGCCGAGCCTGGCTTTGCCTTCATCCTCAAATGCTCTGAGACAAAGAAGAAAAGAGAAGTTAGTTTATAGATGTAAAAGTTGCTTAAAATGATCAAAAAAAGAAAGAAAGCAAAGCTAATATCTGAAGTTGAATGATGCTACCTCAGAGTGAAAGGCATCGTATCGAAGCGTCTCTCCATCTCACTGAAGAACGTCCGAGATGTCTTCATCTTCAAGCCGTACACCTTGTTGGGGTCTCGCTTGTAAACAGTGGTTCTCTGTCCTCCATCCTTGGCCTAAATAGCAAAACAGAACATATATTATCAGATTCTTATTTGTGACATTTTCCCAAAAAATAAAATAAAACAAAAGAAATCTGATTTCCTCTCACCTTCCCCTCTCCACTGCTGATGAGCACATCCACTGCATAAACCTCATGCACCTCAAACTCAGCCTTCTCATGGTCCTTTCTGCAAAAACAAAGGTTCACTGGTTAAAGGGAACACTCATCAGGTCAGGAATAATAAGCTCTTGCTGAGTGACGCAGGAGTGACTGACCTTTGCTGGTCCGTTGGGTTTTGGATGATAGTTTTCTCCCCATCGATCACATGTTGTTTGAGCTGATGGGACAGCATGCCTGTATATATGGAAGTCAAATTTACATTTAGCAAATATAAACCATTGGAATCACAGAACTTGAAGGGAACAAGTGGTCGCAAACACCCACCTTCAATAGGAGAGCACTTGAATGACTTTGCAATCTTGTTCCAGGCTTCTGTGACCTGTGTGTTCTAATAGAAGATACATGGTTATGATTAAATGAGCAGTTATCGTTGGTCATGGTGATGTAGATGCTCCGATACGAACATTGGAAATGACTCCAAGACCGTTGAAAATGTTGGGTCGGTGATTTACGCAAAATCCATGTACTAATTCAATACCATCACTTTAAAGTATATTTATTTTAAAGTCACATCCACATAAAAATACAATTTTGTTTTTTCTGGAAATCACTTCTTCACCGCTCTAAAATAGCACTTGTGCTGTACAGCTACTGGCAAGTACTGTTTTTAGAGAAGCAATTTACAGGAATTGTGTATTTTTTGTTCTGTTCATTTTTACTTATGAGTTTAGAAGTTCTATTTCATTCATTTTCTGTGTGTATTTGGTACTCTCTATCAGCCAATATAAACAGTCTAGGTTTTGGTATGAAGAAGGGAAAAATGGTAACAGAATAAGTCAACATGGTAGGATTTGTACCTGGTTTCCTGGCTTGACAAGACGCAGGGCAGCCTCAGCACAGAGGTGAGCTGCTTTGACAACATCAGCCTTCTTCCCTGTGAGTGGGTTGTCCTGAAGTAACACAGGAGGCACGTCAAGTATAAGAGAATCATGAGCCATTGATGGTGCGACCATCAGTGGCTGTCAAGTAAATCACAGCTCGTGACTGTTGAGAATAAATCACTATGTGTTGCAGAGTAATTTAATCCGACACTGATGACATACCTTGGTCACTCCCACAACAAAGCTGTGAGCCACATTTGAGATGAAGCCATCGACATGCACACCCAGATCACTGCACACAAAGACAACAAGAAAAGGTGAGTGTGAACTGCATATGAAGTATCCTACTATAATTTATCTGGTGCACAGGGTTGACAGGTATAAACTAAGCAGCTTACATCTTGACAAGGTCCCCGTCCTTCAGTATGACGTCAGGGTCGCTCTTCAGAGGGGAGCAATGGCATACGCAGTTGTTCACTGACACACAAGTAGGAAAAGCGATACCTGTGAAAGAAAAGAGAGTGAATGAGGGAGGTGCTGAGTCAGGCATTAAAGGGACTGATGAAATGCCATAAAGACTCACCTTTCTTCATGTCCTTTTCCTTCTTGAAGATTTTTCCGGTCTCTGCCATGATGAAGGCATCTCCCTTTTCACACAAGCTGAGTACGGAGACTCCAGCCATAGCTGCCGTAACTACCGTCTTCAGAGCCTCTGCAGGACAGGAGATGAGAAATGGAGGCGAATAAGAAAGCATGTCAATGACAGAGTGTATACTGTTAATTATCATTTTTCTTTATCAATTAATCCATTTAGTGTCATTTTCTGGGTCAGATCATAAATCGTGTGGTTAAGAAAATATAAACCAGAACTTTCTAGATGAGATCCTTAAGTCCCTTATTTGTCAAAATCACATATTTTAATTGTCTCTTGATTATGTAGTCAACTAATTATTGACAGCCAGGACATCAGGGTTAAAGTGACTGGAACAATCCACATTCATGATCCAACACCATCAACTTAATAACTGTGGTTATATGTTTTTGTGACACACACACACACACAGGCTGCAGACCGGAGAGGAGTTCTTCCCATAGATTATCACACAATGGTAATTTAGAAAAAAAAAATTTAAATGTTGCAGAAGAAGCGACGCCCAGTTTTCTTAAAAAGATCAGCTCTAAGTGTGAGTGATTAGAAAAGAGCAGAGAGAAAGTAAAGGCTGAAGATGCAGCACACAAGTCTGAACTGAATGAGTGTCAAACTGAATAAACAAATTACAGCACATTTTAACAGTAACAGGTTGACTGTCTTTATACTGTTTGACATGATTCGTGCGTAGGTGTTAAATGTGGTTGGTGGTGTCTGAGCCATATGACGGAAGTAGCCCTTCTTTAGGTTACAACATGCATTTCATGTTATCTTGGCTGGTTGGAGTCCTTCTCCTGCTCTGCATTACCCTCATTCTGTGTCATGTTCTCTCCCATGTTTGTTTGTGTTGCCTGAGTGCAAATTCCCTGCCTGTATCCCAGCGGTTTGGAAGAACGCAAAGCATTATCCAAATGAAAAATATTGCCTTTAAAAGCGAGTTGTGACAAATAAATGACCAATACAGAATAATATGAAGACATTGACATTTTTTGGTCTTTACAAAATATATACTGACATGTTGCACAGGCGTAGTTCAAGGCTCAATGATTTTGAATTGCTGAAACCAGTTCCAGATTATAAGATACTGGAATTTGCTGCTTTGCAAATTCAATATTTTCTAATCTATGCAGTTGTGGATGTTTAGTCACCTCACATTGTGCTCCAATATATTATGATGTGAATGTGATGAACTCGTCAAACGTCACAGAACTTGGATATTCTGAGGAAACTTGAAATTAAACAGTAGAACTGATCCCCAAAATCAACCAGATTACCCCAAATGAACACTAACTTTACTTTATCATGATTCTACTAAATGTTTTAGTTTGACTGTACGTAATGGAAACGTAACATGCCAGGCTGTTCACCTCCAGGCTGTTCTGAACAGGTGTGAGTGTAATGTGTGAATGGAATTGTATGCTTTGTTAGTTAAATCAAGAATAAAATGGTGTATCTGAGTTTAGATCGCAGAAATGATGCAATAATAAGACGCACAGGTGCAAACCCAACACCGTTTATAGCCAACGGTCCTTATCAAGACATGTCCCCGATGACACTGAGTGCATGTGGCCTTACAATGGACATATCGGGAGGTGAACTGCCTTCAACCACGAGCGATAAAACGATGAAGATTCGTGATGTTGATGTTAAAATGACTTTGTGGTTTAGTCTCATTCTTTAAGTAGGAATATAAATGGATGTAACTGAACATAGTAGTTTGGGTGTTGACTGGCTTCTGCTTTTGGAGCCTTTAAATTACAAGCAGCTCTTCAGTCTCCTACAGGACGACGAGAAGAGTGTGGATTTGAATGAGCAGTGAACGTGGGACACACTGCGCTGAACACACTCATATCATCTTTCCATTTTGTACTTGTCATTGTTATCTCTTGCGTTAGCACTTACAGCTAGCTACCGCCTGCTAGGAGTGTAGCTGAGCCAATTAGCCACCTAGCTCACTAAGCTAACGTGACAGCTACGAGATATTAAACAAACACGGTCTGTTGAAGGTGGAGGTTCTTCTTTATTATTTACAAGAACTCCTGTTTTAGTAGTTTTCAACGAAGGCCCACTCGCTGCTGTGACCTATGGCCGCTGCTGGCTGCGGCACATGGCACACTCGCTGCTGGGTACGACTAGCTGACACAGCTAGCTAACATGAGCAGGATCCTCCGCTCTTTACGGACGCTCGAGTGAAAACAGCTCGTTCCACTTACGGTTCGCGATCTCGGCGCCCATCTTGTACTTGGTGACCACCAGGTCGTCGGCGATGGTCTGCTCCTGCGTGTCGTCGTCTCCAGACATGTTGGCAGTGAGTCCGCGAGCTGAGAGTAACTTTTTCTTCCCTCCCCGGCGGGTGTCAGTCAGTCACAGGATGGACCACGCTGCTCTCCGCGCCGCCGCGAACCACTTCTACTACCGGCAGCCAGAGAGCCCCAGAGCCCGCCCGCTGCCCGAGACACGCGGCCAGCTCAAGATGGCTCCCCGCCTACACGTGGACGGCGAGGGCAGGGCTGCAGCGAACTCAGATCATCTTCTCCATCAATAATAAAAACAACAAATAAATAATAATAATGATTATAATAATGGCACCCTGCGAAAGGACAACCTGTATAGATTATGGATGGATAGATGAATGGATACTACAACTACTATTACTACTACTATTACAACTTCTAATAATCTGTGACTCCTAAAGAATAATTAGTATAGATAATGGATGGACAGATGAATGCTTACTTCTACTACTACTACTACTACAACTTCTGATAATAATGAAAATAATGATAATAATACTCCCCTGTGGCCCCCAAAGGATAATCGTTATATGTAATAGATAGATGAATGCATACTTCTACAACTACTACTACTTCTATTACAACTTCAAATAATAATGAACAATAATAATAACAATATATCCACCCTGTGACCCTCAAAGGATAAGCGGTGTAGATCACGTATGCATGGATGAATAATAATAATAATAATAATAATAATGATTTTAATAATAATAAAAGCTCACAACTCCATCATGGCCCCCAAAGGATGATAATAAACTTTATTAATATAGCGCCTTTCAAAACACAAACACCACCGAAAATGTCACCGAAAATGTCACCACCAATGAGGGATTGGGACAGTCTGAAAAAAATAGAGCTGCTAATGTTTGCATCCGGTCTTTATCCTATTTATTAAGAATCTCAAATGATTGGCAGATAAAATAATGGAGACAGATGCATACATAGATCACAGACAGGGTGAAATATAGAAATAGTAAAGTCTAGGAGCGATTTGTTAAATTGAAATGTACAATATTATCAATGCATTAATAATTAGGTTTACAGAATGTGCATTACTTTATTGTGTGAAGTGTAAAGGATCTTTCAAAAGGACTTTGCTTAATGCGTTAGTGAACCCACCAGTAGACCGTTAGCTGGGTTTTAACGAAAACGGAAAAACGACGCAATAAATCCTCTCGCTTCTCTCATCATCTTTGATTCTACCTTTGACCAAGTCGGAGACGAGTGCGTCACTGATGCGTTCACGTGCCTTCGCCCCATTTTCTACTGCTGCTGTTCGGTGTCGCGTTCAATGACTTCAAGTTGGAGAAACGCATGTTTGTCTGTTTTTAATGGTTTACGGTGGAATAAAAATAGGATATAAAACAAACGAGCATTTTCAAGACGAAATGAAATTTCATTGTTTTATTCATTTGAAAAATATTGCAAGAAAATGTAATGTAAAAAAAAAAGTCTGCTCTACACAAATCAATAACACAAATGACTGGCTACTTGTAAAAATAATAATATTTATCATAAATCTTACTGATACAAACTACACAACTTGTAACATAACCTTTTTTTTCTTGTTTTGTACCAGTTCACATTTATTTACTGCACCATAATCTTGTGAAATGAAAATACATTTTGTATTTCTTTTGTTATTTTTATTTTTCAAAGCTTCTTGGATGTGAGACTCAGATAAAAAAAAACCAGTAAAATATTACAAAGGTACCAAGATTTATGAGAGTAAGTGTTTCTGCAGTTCATGTTATTAGGTGCGTACAGCATCTGGTTTGAGGAAGAGTCTGCTGTGCCAGTAGTCTGGGTTGTCAAATGATGTGTTGCTGCCAGGCTCCCCCATGCCGGCGCACACCTTGATGTATCCCCCGATCCCTGCACACCTGCTGCTGCCCACCTCCTCAGAAACAGCTCTCCCCTTCACTGGGAGGTTCTGGTAGTCTGCCTGCTCCCACCCTCTGGGCACCACTCCAAATGTAGTCATCTCCTCGTACTCCTCCACCTCTTCTCCTCCAGCTGTGAGCACATCTGGCGTGGGCTCGACCACACCGCTCAGATTCTCCTGATGCGTGGGTTGTTTGTTTGTGTCGTGGCACCTCTCCTCTTCCGCTTCCTCTTCGTGCTCTGTTTTCAACACCTCCGCCATTTGGTCTGTTTCCTGTGCCACTGCGGCCTTCTCTGCAGATGTTTGACTCCCACGTCTCTCACAGCCTGAATCCTCAACCTCTGTGGAGTCAGAACGCCTGATATCCATGTATTCATACCTGCCTCTCACTTTGGCTGCCTCTTTATGGTCCTCTGCAGCTCTGATCCGTCTCTCAGTGTCCCCAGATAGCTGATTTGTCTCTGTGGAGTCCCTTTGCTCTATTAAAGTTCCCTCATAATCCTTATCTCCTTGCTTTCTCCTCACACCTGTTAATGGTGTCAGTGTTTCCACATCTGCTGTGTGCTCTGCAGGTAATGAAGCCATGAGGGTCGGAGAAGGTAAAGGGGAGGCTTTACTGCAAACTGCCTCTGAAGGGGAAGCTGTCTGAGATGAGACACCTCTGGTTAAACAAGGAGGAGACTCTTTGCTCATGATTTCATACTCCTGGGAAGGATTTATCACCACGAGAGACAGATTATTCTTCAGTTTTAAGTTTCTTTGGCCAGAATGAGAGAATCTAGGGACTGTAAGCCAAGAAAAAATGCACAGAAGGAAGAGGAAACCTTGATTATATGTAAAATACATTCAGGCATTTTGCTATTATTTTTTGAAAAACTAAGCAAATAATAGGACAAGTCAGTTTGCTCTTGTTCTAGGGATTAACGTTTACCTCTCTCTGGAGTGCCAGGTGAGCCAGGCAGGATGTAGCCATAGTGGTCCACCTCTTCCTCCTCCTCAGCCGTCCACACCTTGTATGAGGACGGACTTGATGCGGTTGAAAGCTTCCTGTGCCGGCCGATGGATATACGAGTGTTTCCCCTCTCCGATCCAAACCGGGACCTGTGAAAACTCCCACTGTGCAAACCTTCCTCACGCTGCTCTGCTTCTCTGCTGCTCCCCCTGACCTCTGACCTGTCAGGCAGCGTCCGCACAGAGCTCAGCCGAGACCTCTGGAACCACAGCTAAGACATGGAAGAAGAGACTTACAGACAGCTCACAGAAACCAGTCTTGAGATGGAGTCTCACTTCCTGAGGTGATATATTGACAGGGCTCATTCTTAAAGGGATAGTTCACCCAAGAATGAAAATAAGCCTAAATGTCTGCCGTTATCCTCCTCAAATCTGAGTTTCGAGGCTTACGGACCCTTGGATAACGCCACACGAGCAGTATGGAGGCATTTTATATTTTTGTCTGTTGTTTTTTTACGTTTGAAGAATGGATCATCCAATCACTTCAATTGTATTGGATTTGAATGCAACGCTGTTTACTGGACTTCAACACTTCACCCATTTTAAGTGTTTAAGTGTATCTGATGAAAGTTACAGCTAAAGATACTTAATACACTTTGTCACCTGTGCAATGCAATAATCAGCTAATGTTAGTCTCAACAGGTGGGAATGTGTGTGCGTGTGTGTGTGCGTGTGTGTGTGTGTGTGTGTGTGTGTGTGTGTGCGTGTGTGTGTGTGTGTGTGTGTCACACCTGGCGGAAGCTGTCCACAGGGCTGGGGGTCATTGGCAGGTATCCAATAGGTCCGGCCTGAGACGTGCCACTCTTCAAACAAGCGAAGAAAAACACATTTATGCACAGTTTGAACTGTCTCATATTCTTTTGACGATGATCACTAACGACTCTATCTATCCAACCTGAGATGTATTTCTTTACCCTGTAAGAATTAATCCGTGAACGGGACAGACTCCAAGATGGAGAGTGCTGAAGAGGAGGCGTAGCCAGACCGTCCTCCAATCCTGCCTCATCGTGGTCTTCCAAATCTGCACCCAGAAGCCCTCGCTCTGATTCTCTGCGATGGATTTCTGCCGAGTCTGCTTCTCCTCCTTCCATCTGTATTAGATACCATTGTATGTCATCCATCATCAGATCATTTGATCTTTTCAGTGAAAATGAAACTAAAATCATAGCTCATCTCAATATCTTTCAGATATAATTGCAATATTATTGTTTGAGCCCGATGTGAGCCTTTCACGGATCAATTTAGCTTTTATGTTTGCTGATATGAATTGTTTAATTTTACTGAATAAACAATGAAAAGATTTGCAATTATTATTTTATATAGATATGAATAGAAATATATAATTGTACTCCCTATTATCAGCATCAGCCCCCAAATGTCCAAATTAGTTTGGCTGTCATTACTATTATTATTTCAGTAAAGGTTCGGGACACTTCCTCGTCCACTGTCTCACCTTGATGACGAGGAATCTAGGAGGGTCTCTTGCCATACGAGTAAAATCACTGGCCAGCTCTTTGAAGGTCGGCCTTATGTTTTCATCAATCATCCAACCTTAAGAGAGGAAGTAACATTATCCACATCGAGCATGCATGACTGTGTGCATACAGGTGCAGTGTCTTTTATCAAACTCACATTTGACCATGACCATGTAGACGTCTATGGTACAGATGTGCGGCTGGGACAGACGTTCGCCTTTCTCCAGCAGACTCGGCACCTCCTGAGGCTGCACGGAGGCATACGGCTCTGCTCCAAATGACATCATCTCCCACACCGTCACCCCTGTCCGGGAAGAGAGATGACCCATTTAAATTCCCCCTGATGAAATTCACAGATTTCAGGAGGAATGTTTATTTACTAGTACAAGCTTTTATAGAGCTGCACACGCTCAGGCAGCGTCTTACCATAACTCCAAACATCACTTTGGTGAGTGTATCTCTGGAACAAAATACTTTCAAGAGCCATCCATTTTATGGGCGTCTGGAGTAGGAGACAAATTGCACACAAGCCAGACAGACTGATTTCATTACCCGAAGAGACGGAGAAAAACACTTAACTGTGACTTAAACATTCAAAGAGCATCTCAAAATAAACCAGCCAAATCCACCTTGGTGTCGGTGTAGACGTATTTCTTGTCATCAGGATAAAGGAGGTCAGCTACACCGTAGTCAGAGATCTGGACCTGGTAATCATTCTTCAGCAGGATGTTGCGGGCAGCCAGGTTCCTGTGGATGATGCAGTGTTCCTCCAGATAGTACATACCCTAAGAAATGAACATGCATACTGTGAATATACTCTGAGTTTATTCATGACAGTTGGTTGTCCAAAAATAATCCAAAATTGCAGGTACACTCACTTTAGCTATCTGCACACACCAGTTGAGCAGGCGCTGAGGGTCCAGGCTGTTCTTGTGTTGCCTGATGTGCTCCAGTAAGGACCCCTGTGGAATGAGCTGGGTAACCAGCTGCAGACTGGCCCCTGGACAGATGCCCAGCAGCCTGACGATGTAGGGGTGGTCCAGGCTGCCCATTGATAGCATGTGCTAAAAGGGTGATATACACTATAGGTATAATAATGCATGGATTGTGATTTGATAAAAAATAAACCACAATCATACTGTGTTTGCACACCAACTGGTTCAGTTTCCCTCTACATTCATATTTTTCCAATGAAATCTAATAAGTGAATCTTTGAGTCCAAGTGACAACTGATCAAAAACTGAAGAAATTCACTCAAAATATTCTTGAGATATCACATTCAACACATATTAACATGTTTTGTGAGGCCACCATGACCTTGGCCTTTGACCTTTGGCCACCAAAATCGAATCAGTTTATCTTTGAGTTTAAGTGAATGTTTGTACCAAACTTGAAGGAATTCTTTCTAGGAACTGTTGAGATGTCAGGTTCACGAGAATGAGACGGATGGAGGGACAAAAACATAATGCCTCAGGACACTGTCTGTTGCCGGCGTGGAGGCATTTGGGGAACTGATATCTGTGGGTGTGTGAAATTTGGTGCAGATTGATTGATACTGAGGGGACTGCTGGGACCTTGGTGGAGGTAACGCTCTATTGAGTGCCTCTAGTGTCTGAGATGTTGTTGGAGTGTAAGAGGATTGGATTCTCACATCAGTGATCTCAGTGAAGGTCTGTCGCCCTGAGCTGTCCTGGATGGTCTTAATGGCCACTGGGATCTTTACCGTCTCTCCCTCTGGAGTCCAAAATCCCTTTAACACAAATTAAATGTGCAGCTGGAGTCACATAGTTTCTCACAAAACTTGCATAAAACAGACACTAAAACTGTAGCAAATATTCAAATTCAGTGGAGGATCTGTGGATTTTATTTTAAAAGAAAAAGCAGATTGAGATTAATTACTACCTTATTCACTTTTCCAAAAACTCCTGAGCCAAGGGCTTTGATTTTTTTTAGTTCTGAGGGCCTCAAAATACGAGCATGAACCTTGGTGCCTTTTTCTCCAGGACCCAGAGGTTCAAAGCTCTGCAAAGAAACAAACAGTTATTCCCCACATGATTTTTTTGTACTTAAATTGAATGCGGGTCCTGGGGTTGGATGTCTCCACAGTCTCACCTCTCCACTCTCCAGGTACCTCCGCATGGCTCTCTTGCGACGGATGGCCAGCCCTCGGTGGTAAAGCACACCCAGGAAAAACAACACCAGGCAAAAAATCAAGCCGGCCGGAACAGCCAATGCTATGTTTGTGATCTGACCACTGCACAGTGAAGCAGAGAGAGAGAGATGATGGTGTGGGAAAAGTTTTTGACTTTCATGGTTTGTAAAAAATCTGTAAAATTGATCAAATTAAGAAATAACACAGATTTTGTTGTGGGTATTGACGAAATTCATGAATTTAAGGCTATTAACTGTACGTTCAAGGGGTTGGTATAATACTTTGCATTTAACAAAGAGTTGTATGTAACATATGTTATGTCATTGTCAGTATCTTACAAATAATAGTTTTGTGTATGTCCTCTAGCAGGATAAATCAATTTCTCAATTATTGAATATAGACATGACATGACATGATTTACCAGCAGGGGGCAACACTCACCTGCTAACTGCCAGTCTACCAGTCTCCAAACAGTCATTTAATCCTGGGCCTGAACATCTGGAAGAGAATATTCATACATGTGTTACTGCCATACATGGCTGGAACATGTGAAAGTACACACACGTGTATAAACTTTGCCTATAGTCTCACCCCTGTGTACAGTTATGGTGACATGGTTCACAGTGACCCTCCCTGTTGGGGTATTTAAAGATCAGTCCCCTCTGTCCATCATTTACTCCAGTGGGACAAGAGGACATGCAGTAAGGACCATCTCGAAGGTTGGCGCATCCCGCACACTCATCTGCACCCTAACAAAGTAAGAGAGGAAGAGATAATATATACTACACACTATATATTACTCTGTGGTACAAGAAACAATTAAAAGTTTGATTCCAATAAGAAAATAATGATATAGTAATTGCCATTGGCTGTTATTGTTTCTAATTTTAATTTCTGTCATTGATTTAGATGAGCACTGTGATGTGATTATTGTGTAAGCAGTATTAACATTATAATACATTCAAACTGTACTGTACAAATGTTAAATCACCACATCATAGTAAAGGAAGTTATTACCGGTCCAGTACAGCTGTCTTTCCCATGCTGAGGCTTACATTCCGGGTGACAGGCCACACACTCACCATCAGGGCCTGCAAATTCCCTTGTAGCTCTGTGGACATAATATTCAAAAACACACAGTCAGACAACAGGAAAATCTTCAACACACAGACAAGCACCAGTAACAAGAACAACAACACAAACTGTATCTACAGACCCTGTGAAAAAATTACAGCTGCCCACACATGTGCCATCTCGGCTGTAGTCCCTACAGGAGAGACACTGGTCGGGCCCCGGGCCCCAGCAACCTGAGTCTGAACACAACGGGTCACACACGTGTCCTTCTGCAACTGCACACAACACAACAATGTTAGGACACGCAGCGTGTGCAACAACAGGTATCATTTTCTCTCTGATCCAAGCGTAAGATACAAGAAGAAGACAATAGGCCTATATGAGATTTAGAGAAGTCACCAGTTGTTAATTGACTCACACATTTAAGTTTTAATGAAACGAAAATTCAAAGAGTTTCTTTTTTTTCGCCTCACCACACTCGGCCAGTGGCTTGTTGTTGTTGATGTTGTCAGCTCGAACTTTGGGGCTCCTGAACAGCTGTGTCCAGTTTACAGTGTGGTGGTAACAGAGGTTGACGTTCTGATTGATGTACACGCTGCCATCACTGATCTTGCGGAGTGAGCGCAGACCCAGTGAGGTCAGAGTGGGGATGTGTATCACCATCAGAGAGAAAGGCCTTCGGTTATAGGGTTGGAGGAAGAAAAGACAAAAAACTAAATACAGTAATGGTTTTATCAGGTAAATGTATTACACATTACACACATACAAACCATGTGAACCGTGTGAACCACACTTACTTAATGAGCGACCGCCCTTGAATGGTGGTGAGACTCGAAAAAACAGACAGATCATTCAGCTCTTTAGGCCACGACTGGATGTTTAGAAAATCTGAATATAAAACACAGTAATAATATTAACACATGGTATTTTATGATATGGTACTGACAGTAGAGTTTCTCAAATACAGAAAAGATCATTAGATGGATAAAAGTTATTTAATTGTTATTTAAGCTCTGACCTGTTAATCGGGGCCACATCACAGGATGGGCCGAATTCACAGGAAAAAAAACACTTGAACCAACATCAGTGTGACAAGAACTATCTAAAGTGACAGAA